GTTTACCCTACTTTCTCAGAGAAAAAGTCTCAACCCCATCCCTTTATCAACCCCCAGAGATTACCTACAATCTACTTCAGGTGTAAACATCTTTGTCTACGGATGGAAAAATAGTGAACATTGAGAAGAGTTAAGGAAGGGAAGGGAAGGGAAGGGAAGGGAAGGGAAGGGAAGGGATGGAATGGAATGGAATGGAATGAGATGGGATAGAAAAGCAACAGGGAAAATTGGAGACAGGGCAGAAGAGGCAAAATGGGGTCAACTAGCATGATCTGCCAGCTAAAGATGTTAACAAGTCCACTCTTTCTGAGTATATATTTTTTCAACTACCCATGTGGATGATTTTACACCCATTCAATGTATTTCCCATGAAGTATCCTTGCCTAGATAAAATAGCTTGCTGTAGGGAGACATATAATTGGCTAGATTTTTTAAACTAGCAAACCCCAGGATGTATGGACATTATGTGTAAACAAAAGAAAAATGACAACTGAAGGGAGGAGTGGGGGGCTCAAACTGGAAGCCACATTTTCCACAGGTCAGGCTGTCTCACCACTGCAGCTTTGAAAGATGTACTCTACCAAATCCAGTTTGCAATGATGCTGCACAGCTTTACGTGACATGATTAGGAAATTATAATATAAATATTATTCAATAAATTACATTTGCTATATTATTACTAAGGTTACAGAACTCCTGGCTTAGTGGAGGAAGGACCATCACCAGCATGTGATTTAAATCCTGCTGGTGGCACTGAAGATAACATTATGAAAGATAATATGATGTGGCAGAACTAATTAGATACATAACAGCTCTTTTGATTGTTTGGTAAGCATATTTATACTGAAGTGCCCACACATTATGGAAACTACTTTCAGAACGGAAAGCAACAATATTTTTATTGATATGGGAGATGTTTTAGTATCTCTCATATCTTCATATGGAACATTTAACCTGGGTGATTTTTTTTTTTTTTTAGAAATAGCCATCACATTTTTAATCCAGATCGAGCATCCCAGTGACACAATATAAAAGGAAAAAAGGCACAAGAAAATGCTAGGTTTATTCAGAAATGGAAGTTGAATAATGGAACATCTAAAACAGTGAACAGAGAAAATAATAGACAAAGATGTTTAAACCTTTTCGAGCGAATCGTGGGAGAGAGTTATTATCATATAAGGATTGAGTGGTAGTTTGGCTAGAGAGGGAGGACACAGAGCCAATCAGGGAGGCGTAGGGGACTGAATTACTGCTCAAAGCTGTAAAAAGTAAAGCCAATTGGAAATGGGAAAGAAATTAGTAACAGCAGTATACCATCATATTAAGTCAGTTTTTACAAAGACCAAGGTACTATTCTGCATGCACAATGTTACGTGGACATTCAGAACTGGGAGAAAGAGACAGAAATGTCAGATTATCCTAACTTATTCATATATAGAACCAGATGGCTGTATTAGTGGACCATCTCATTGCAGAACTGGATCTCAATACTCAATTGGCTAGGAAGTTTAATATTATTGAAAACTGAGAGATCGTTCCATGAAATAATAGAGGGCTCTAATGCAGGCTTATACAGAAGTAACAAAATCTTCAATGGTGCTCACTCTTTAGTAAAGATAAGTACAGTTGCAGACTAAGAATGTTAACTAATCAAGTTCTTTTCTTCCATGACTTTTGCTGTTTTTATTAGATCCATATTGATAAAAACACTCAGGACAAGAATTCCTTCCACATTCTGCTATTTATATATGGCATCATCCTTCTGCAGTGAGACATCTGAGCCTTATCAAAATGTGGTATACCATCTTTGACTTGTTTGCTTGTTTAAGCAGAAGGGATGGGTTTATTTAAGCAGAAAATTCAACCACTTCTAGAATCAACCATCTGATTATTATTGCAGGGTAGCATTCTTATGTGTATGAGTAATATAAAATGAAAGCCTTTCCATAAAGTTTTACATTTAGAAAGGTAGTGTGAGTGTGTGTGGGGGTTGATCCTTCCTTCCTTCCTTCCTTCCTTCCTTCCTTCCTTCCTTCCTTCCTTCCTTCCTTCCTTCCTTCC